CATGATTGATTAAACCATTGGCTGTTGGTGATCAACTTAACCTTCAGGCCTTGTCCCCTCTCCAGAGGTTGGGGGTGGCGCTGAAAGTCCCAACCCTCTAGTCCTGCCTTGATGTTTCCTCTGACCAGGCCCCATCCTGAAGCTGCCAGCCACCAATCATTAACATACAAAAGACATCACTTAGGCTATTCTAAGGATTTTAGGTGTTGTATGTCAGGACATGGGGGTCAAAGACCAAAATTTCCCAGTATCACAAACAAAAGCCAGCACACCGGGCTAATTTTTAAATCTGTTGTAGAGATGGGGATCTCACTGTGTTGCCCAGGCTGGTCTGGAACTCCAGGCCTCCAATGATCCTCCTCTGATCTCTGCCTCCCAAAGTGCTGGGATTACAGGCGTGAGCCATCATATCGGGCCAATGTCTTGAAATCCTTAATACTGTAAATTTTGAACAAGGGACCTTGAATCTCCACCTTGTGCTTGGCCCTGCAAATTATGCAGGGGTCTTGATTACCGAGCTTTTTGTGTCCCCTTGACTTTTCTGCCTGAAACTTGTGTCTCACTGGCCTCCCTCTAGGGACCCTGCTATAGGCCTTCTTCCTGAAAAAGTAGGCTCTGAAGCGCCACATTCACTTTGCTACGGCCCATGGTGTTTGTGGAGCCCTGGACATAGGGGGATGTCCTCCCCACCTGTTCTGACTGGACCTACCCCGGGCACCCTCCAGCAGTTTCCGTCCTGGGCCTGCGTTTCTTCCTGGGGGAGCATGACGGCCCGCAGAGATGCCCTTCTTCACGTTGTGCGTGGACTCAATGCACTGGCTGCACTCGGTGGGCCACTGCGCAAATGAATGTTTCTGCAACAGCGAACGGCCCCTACGATCAGGGACCTGTTGCTCTCTCCCTAGTCGCGCCAGGGACTGGAGGGTGCAGAGACAGATGCTCTAGGTCTGTCTTTCAAAGCTTGGCTAGAATGCAGCCCACCTTGGTCTTCGTGCCCCTGAGGGAGGCCACTTGACCTGGAGCTGGGCCCGCTGGGGTCACCTGGGCCGGAAGGTGTGCTCCAGGGGGGCCAGACGCCGAGGGAAGCACGCCTGTCCGCCAAGCGGACCGCCAGTAAGGGACGCCTGGCGCCTGGGATCAGCCGGGTCCTGGGCAGAGGACTAAGGTGCCCTGCGTACCCACCGCCCGGGCTGGGGCGCACGTGCGCATCCACCCAGGCTCCTGCTCCGCGCCCGCCTGTGCTTCAGAGCTCAGGAGGAGGCGGCGAGGCTGCCTCGGGCCTGCACCCAAAAGGATGCGCGACTGGGGATTCGGATGGTACGGCCCGCCCTCCCCGCCTGAGCGCAGCTGATGGTTTCGTCCGACTCGGCAAACCTCTCCGCGGCCGCAGAGCGCAAAGGGGCGTAGCGACGCCTTGGCCCCGCCCCCTACTGCATAGTCATGAGGCAGAAAGCTCGGCCTTCGGGGAGGCACAGGTCCTTCCCCTGCCGGGGCGCGGCCGGCTGGAGGCGGGGCCTGGCTCCTGGCGCGAGGCGGGGGCGGGGGCGTGGCCGGCCCCCGCCCGGCCCCCGGCCTCGCTCTCCGCCCCCTGAGCGCAGGCCCCACCCCACGCCCGCCGCCGCGCAGGGAGGGGCGGGGCCCGGCCTCGCCAGGCCCCACCCCCCGCCTGAATATTGATGCGGAGCGCGTCGGCGTCGCCCTCCTCCCATTGAGCGAGGCTGTGTCGCGTGGCCCGGCGTCGGCGTGACGGTTGGACGCGGGCGCGGCACTGCGGGTCCCGATTGCTGCAGCCGCTTGTCAGTGTGATGAAGATTGGCACCCAGGTAAGCTGTCACTCAACCGGTCCGCCGCCGCCGCCGCCGCTCTCGCGGCCGCCGTCCCTATCAATCACACCGGCCCGCGGCCGCCGCCGCCGCTGCCGCCCGGGCTGGCGGCGCCCCGAGGCCCGCACTTGACCCGCCGCCTGGGGCAGGGGGCGGGGAGGGGCGC